CGAACTATTATAGTTAATAGATATAAAGTTAGAACTTTAGGTAAAGCTATAACGAATTACGAAGTTCATGACTTAAAGATAATAAAATAGTAGATATCTAATAAATTCATCGTGGCTAATATTAGCTAATAGAATATAATTCTAGGGATGCCTTAGCTTAGACGCCTAAACCCTATCCTCGATTTTTAGAAGGAGACATTAATATTCCAATAATACCATGGTAAATTATACTAGTAAGTCATAACTATTAGTAAGGAGGCATGGAACCTCGCCGTACGGACCCAATCATTACTAATCTATCTTATATCCTTATTAATTATCGATAAAGACGAGGACGATAGTAATAATTAGGGCAAAGACACGCTACCCGACGTATATTCGTAGTATATAGATATATTTTTAGTAGGAGATATATTACTTCTCCCTAATCACGGGCCGTATAAGCTAAAGATTAAGCTTAAAGAGGGAGTAGACGTCTCTTATAGCCTACTTTACTATTAGAACTTAGTCTTAGGTAGGACCCGACCTACACGTACCTTAGCTAATAGGATTAGAAGGTGACGTGAAGGGCGGTAAACAGTCACGTGCTAGATAGATCGGCGTCCCTTTATATATATACTCTCAGATTCCTACCGAAAGGGTTCGGTAGTAATTCGTTCTATAATAGAATATACCCTATTATTCTATCTAACTATACTACTATCTAATAACCCTATTCTTATATTCTAATTACTCCCTATATAGTACTATAGTTAAGATAGTCTAACTAGAACTGAGAAGGTTGACACGATCTACTATAGGGATAAGTAATACTATATTAAATAATAGGGATTCTCTATAATTAGTATTAATTCTAGCCGTTTCTAACTGAGAAGTGGAAATATTAGACTGAATCACGGAGCTTTTAGATGAAGAAATAGTAGATACGCTAAGTAACTTCTAATAATATAAAGCTGGATAACGAGTCGTGGTAGAGCTACGCGAGGTATTATAATAAACTATCGCTAAACTTTAGAAATACGTCGCGAATTAGGCTTAAGAGATTTAAACCCTTAAAGAATAGGTAGAATGCGTGAAACTCCTTGTAAAGAGATAAGAACTTAAGGAGTCTCTTAAAGAACTATGTCGAATGATAGTAGGTAGATGACTTCCTATACTAATTTAGGTGGAATTAGTTTACCTACTATTAGAGTTATAATAATCTACTGTATACCTGGCCGCTTTGTTACTGATTTACCCTACTTCTTCTCTAGGTATACTAAAATCTAAAGACCCGACTATATTTATAGGGAAGAACTAAAAGGAGTAGAAAGACTAGAAGAGAGACTACGAAAAGTACTTCCTTGATAACCCTCTACTCTTTTCTACTAAAGTATAACGTATTTTGTTTGGAGAATGATATCTAGGCTTATAATCCCGCGATTAATAGAATAGATAGAAGGAAGTATAGCTACTATCTATGATAACCTAGGAATATTTAGCTATATTTATACTAAACACCCTCGGAACGGATAGAGAATGTGAAAGAAAGGCACTATCTAAGTTAAGAAGCGTGGTATAATAACCGAACTAGACATCTACTTAACTACTATAATACCTCTAAAACCTATAGAATAATATCCCTACGCTATAGGAAAATATTTGTATATTCTAGTTTTGTAAAGTACTACTTCCGTTAATCCGCGAAAGACTAGAAATAGTATTATTAAGTTTTAACTATCTATACGAATTAGAGGAGAAAGCTAATGAATACTACTATATTCTTAAGGAACGCGGCTCTCTAGGTAAAACCGACGAACCCTATACGGGTTAGAAACGAGGTCGATTAAATACGTTTAATTAAGAGTAACCTTACTGTGATTAGTGCTAGAAGAGTGTAAATTAGGGTAGAAACGCGTTAAGAGGATACTAAAATAATTAAGGCGGTACTTCTTAACGTGGAAAAGGATAAGATATAGGCTTAAATATAACGCCTATTGTAAAATAGTAGGATTATAGTGTACTTCGTTACTATAAGTATAGAGAAATAGAATATATTTCGCCTAACTATAAGAATCTGAAAAAAGAATAGGCTAGTATATGAGACCTAACCGCGTTCTTAGCTAAATTATATATACTTAGGAGGAGCCGTAGCGCCTTCCGGTAAGTAAAGACCTAATATTACTAAAAGTATTGTTATCTATAGTAAATGGTAATAAAACTATATAGGCCCTTATAGATACTAGTATAGAAGATAACTATATTTTATTAATTCTTATAAAGGAGTGTAGATTATCGTACGATCTCGGTAAAGTTAGCCGAACTATTATAGTTAATAGATATAAAGTTAGAACTTTAGGTAAAGCTATAACGAATTACGAAGTTCATGACTTAAAGATAATAAAATAGTAGAT